CCCCCCCCCCCCTCCCCCCTTCCGTCGACGATGCGTGCCGCCCTACCTGCAGGTTCTAGAAATTAGAGGAGAGGAGATAACCATTTTGACAGAGTACAAGTCCATCCCCGGCCGGAAGAGAGCCGCTCGCCCGCCTACACCCGTGTCCAAGGGCGAAGAGCTTAAAAGACAATGACAAAACCGCGGAGCCCCCCCCCCCCCATGCGGTCACGATCAAAACGAGAGATGTGTATGTAAGGTCGTAACGTATGGTCACCCCGATAGTAGTGGTGCTTTTGGCAGAACGCCGTGCGTTTTGTTGCACCCCTTTGTACCCAGAAAAAGTATAGGTAGATGATCAGACGGACCGACAGAGGCCGGCGTGTTTTGAATTGGTGGAGGTTTTGGTGTGTTTTGTGGTCGTTGGGCGATGTCTAGGGTGTGAACTCTTGTGAACGCAGGCGCTACGTGGTAAGCGTCAGGCCCGGTAGATTGTCTCGCGAGCGAGCTGTGCCTGTCCCACGTTCACGGCTCGCTGATGAGAAAACTACGGAGGAAAGACCGCTGCCTGTCAGGCGGACAACGGCGCTTTTCGCTCGGGCTCGGCCAGGATAGCGCGAGAGGAGCAAGGACATAGGGTTGGCGGCGGGATCAACATGCTACCTGTTCCGAACGACAATGAATATATAGTGTTGTTGCTATACTGGAAGTTTGCGACATCGACACATGGGGAAGACCAAGATCGTTGTTTTCGTGGAGTGTATGCTACCCACAGACGAGGGCGGCGTCCTCGATGCCAGGTGTTTCGTAGCAGCGCGGGGTGTGGGAGATCGTTTAGTATGAGCACGACATCATGCACGGTACTGTACACACTAGAACCAATGATGTTGAGAATGCCGGGAGGAATCCCATTGTTGCCTGTAGCTTCATTTGGCGCAGGGGTGCCCATTGGGGTGGTAAGCCCCGCCACTGCTGTCTAGATATATAATGCTTTCGACTGCTGGCAGTGTTTTGTTACGGAGGATTCGAGCTTGCTGTGTGGGGAAAGTGCTAGCCCAGTTTAGAGGAGAAAACGTTGCAGCAGGTTACAATTCAATTCAAACCAATACAGGAAACCTTTGGCACGCACAAGGCGATCCTTCTGCGGTGGGAAATAAAACGCCAGTCTTTGACCATTTCCGTTTTCCTACCACCCCATGCCACATCACCTGAGTCCTGCGCAAACATGTGGGCAGGTGATACAAGAAGTTCATATCGCGGCGACTACAAGTGTGAACTCTAAAGAAACGCTGCAACAGCGAGGATAGCAGTATCGACAACAAGAGGAATTCGGTGTTCTACTTTGATGAGCAAACAGTGACAACATCACAACATCGATGACCACACACTCATAATCAAGCACAGACCGAAAAACTTACGTTTGCGGAGGCTGCACAAGAAGGAATCTGAGACTGGCAAGTGATGCCCCAGAGGAGAGAACACGCACGGTTTATTCGCTTTTTGCGCCGGCGCTTCACGCTTGTGCGGCAGCGCTGGCTTGACTCGTGCCCCTCGAGGGAGACTAATTGAGAAGCACACCGTCACGACACCATCTCTTGGTACTCTGTTCCCCACGCACGAATGCCCTCCGAACATGAAACACCCAAAACCGTTGGATGTATGCAGGAACCTGTAGATCACTTTGCGCGCTTGCTTGTCGATTTTTCGATTCGAAGCCGTTTTTCATCACGACCCATTTTCAGGCGCCGCCGAAGCCGCTGCTCCAGCACCCCCGCTCTCAGCATCGTAGTGATCTGCTCGACCCCACTCGGTGTACTGCTCGGCGTCTGCCTGACGGAAGTCAGTGTATTCCCTCAAGGCCTCCTCCAAACGCCCGATCTTGTGCAGCATCACAATCACCTCTTTCTCTCGTTCCAGTACCTGTTTTTGTCGCGCAGTGTAATTCCTGAGCTCCACCGACGGAGACAAGGCTTTCTACGCCGCCATCGTTTCAAACCTGCTTGTGTCATGATGGTTTACACCCGTCCGATCGCCCCGTGTGCAAAAACGTGTGTGCTCTTTTGCACTAAGATGCCTTGGCTAAACGCGTGCGGACGCATGGGTGGGTTGTCATTCAGAGTCCCATCTCTGTCGCCGCGAATCTTAGCGGGAACAGGGTGGCACACCACATTGATTGCTGGTGCCATCGTTTCATTCGGAGTAAAGTCGGAGGGACCCCCTTCACCTGTTTTTGCAGCTCCCCAATGTTTGCGTCCTTCTCCTTGAGCATCTGTTGATACGCTTGGCAGTCCTGCTGAGCCTTTGTAATTTTGGCTTCCTTCTCGTCGTTGTTGGCCTAAAGTGGTACATTGCACGGCGTACAGTAATTTTTCGGGGTGGAAATTTTCGACATGTCTGATCTAAGAACGTGGTGTCACCGTTGCTCCTCCTCAATCTTCAGCGAGTTGTCAATTTGCGAACATCTGCAAAACAAATAGTCTAAGCTCCGTACAGAAACAAAACGCCAATAAAGAAAAACATCCGTTGTTTGCGGACAACGTGAAAGACAGCTTCGTAGGTCGTCTGAAATCGGAAGCGTCAACGTGAACTGCGTTGCCCGCACACGAAGTAGATGCTTGTTGCTTACAGCTGCGTCTCGTCATCACCTTCAGCATCTTCATGGCGGTTCGAAGTCGGGCAACTTCCATTGCTGCCTCATCAGCAGCATCCTTATCTGGGGGGAGAGGGGGGACGTTGGGATCCGCTGCACTCGCTGCGCTCTTTTCGCTCGCATCTACCCCACCTGCTATCAATAGTCCATCATCACAGGCTGCCATTCCGAGTAGTAGATTCTCCCTCCCGATGGCCTTGGCAACAGCCATGGCGTTCAAGCCTTTGCCATTTTCCTTTGCTGTGTCCAATCCATCGAGAGTTAGCATCCACTCAACGAGCTTTGCGTTGTTGGTCTTCACGGCTATCATCAGGAGCGTGTCTTTCTTGTCACCGTCTACGCCGTCTGGGGCGTACCACTGCAGGTCGCCATAGTACCTGATCAGGAAGATAATGTGAAGAATTGGGATACACCGCGGTATTAGTGGCGTGAAGGATTCTGTTTGTTGGGCTGTTGGGCTGCTCGCCAGGCTGGCGCCCATCCGACGACATCGAGGCAGAAGTCCTACAATGCGTGCGCAATAGACGAAGGCAAGCTCCGTAGAGAAGTCTGTTTTGGCCCTGGAGCTCCATAATATTCATTATCTATTCGCAGCTGATGGGAATCGCAAGAGTCATGGACGCTAGAGAAGAACAGCGATCTATTATCACATATTCCCCCATATCCTACTCTTTTCGTACGTGTGTCTGTGCTCCCTGAACCTCCATATCCTGACCTCCACATGTACATCTTAACATGCACAGGGGAATTGACAATTCTGCATGCATGACGAGCCGGTTCACCCAAAAGACACCGAAACCACAGCTGGTTGAAAAAACTGCAGTTTCATGCGCCACGGTCCCGCTCTCGGCGAAAGTTTTAGGGACCACTACAATAGTAAAATACTGTTGTAGTTCCATGCCATCGATTACATAGCTACAATAGCCTCGATGCTTTGTATACTTCTAGCTCCAGAACGTCAGCTGTCACGAGGTGCCCTTCGTTCTCTGATGCTACCGTGAAGCTCTGCTAACAATGGGATGGATGTTTGGGGGGGCGTTGAGCTACATGTAACAAAATACAAGTTTCTGGCGTTCGATTCTCAGGTCTTTGCCAGCAAATACCAGAGAATATCCGCGGGGGGTGCCCCTCACCAGCGCTGCTTGCCGACTTTATGATGTACGGCAGCTCAGTTCTCAGTGTATCTCAGGCAAAAGAGATGTGTATGACGAGAAAGGAACCCTCGACGTTCCCTTCGATAAGCAGGTAGCGTCTACAGGTAGCCTACGTAGTCAGCTGGCGGCAGAGAGCTGGGGATCGAACCTCAGAGGCTACGAATGTCTTCCGTTTGCCGCAGGTTAGTCCACTTGACGCCAGCGAAATAGCCTAAACTACAAGGTCAGCGACATATACTCTTTGGCTAGTCTATTGTAGGCTTTTACTTTTTGTGCGCTGTCTATGTAACAGCAGTCAGTGCTCACAGAGGCCTTGTGACGGCGAAGCAGAAGACCTGATGACCCCGAAAGCAAAACGAAAGACGACTTGTCGCATAATATCATCGATGTTTTTTTTTTTTTTTCTCCCATCATCGGATTCTGTCGTCTGCCCCTTTGGCCCGGCCCCTATCCTCCACTTCTACTAGCTAGACGACCCAACCGGGGTCACATAGGAATGTGCACAGCTGTCATGTGGCGTACCATCGTCCGGCCCCGCCCTTAGTTGCTCGGCGCCCGTCGAAGGCAAAGTTGATGTCAGCGCCGGTCTCGTACGCACGGCGGCACATATCATGGTCGTTCTCCCTTGCCCCATAAAAGAGATCGAAGATTTTGCGGTCCGTCATGACAGGGAAGGCCTACTTAACAGCAGTATTCAACGAATCAACGAACACCGTGTAGGAGAGAGACGGCACAATCCACAATGACGGTGACGGCATAGAAGTGGGCGCGCCAAACATATTCGCTATGGACAGCCTGCACTGCTGCACTGCCATACACGAGTAAACATGTCGACCTTATTTCTGGATCACTGTTGCCGAGTATCGAACATGTGATGAGACACGGGCGGACGTACTCATGGACACATACATCCGACTCGCATCGAGTGATACTGTATGCATTCGTGACTTCCAATTTTCCGAGAAGCTATAAACCCAAAACACCCCGGGTATAGTTCTCCTCTGCCAACGCATCGAGGCACAGGAGGGAGACCCGACCACTGAGTACTCAAAAATGGCGCTCAAACATGCATCAATCATACCTCGGAACCTCTCGCGCGCGAATGAACCCTTGCTGTTGACTGTTGAGTGCGACGGGCGACGGGCGACAGGGGCTTGCGCTCCCAATAGGCAACAGTAACGCCGCGAACCTGGTGGACACTGGGAATTGGTCAATTGGTCCAGGTACGTTCAACAGCATGTTGGTTCATACGGGGTTGTATGGCACACCTCCCCCCCACATCGGCCCCGACGCAAGAGCTCAGCGTGTTCTGAAGACCTTGTCTTCTATCTATCCAGAGGGACTCATCACAAGCACGGTACACTTCTGCTGCGCCTGCCTTCCATGGACTGTTAGCAGCGCACGGCTCATCGCGGGCGTGAGAACCCTACAACGTCAGACAGACGCCCTGGTATTTGTATTTGCCCACTATCCTTCCGCGCAGGTGCCGTCCCCCACGCAGGTGGTGGTGGCGTGTGCGCCTAATGGATCGCTTACGAGCCGACGCGCACGGCCCTTGCCTCGGCATACCCGAGGGGTACCTGGACAGCGTTGTGGTCAAGGCTTACCACGTGGACATCGCTCTGGCCGTAGAGGAGGCGGCGTTCTCGGGGCTCGTCAGGATTCCGGTGCACGTCAAGCCGGGGTCGGCGGCGGCGGCGGCCTGCAGAACGTTTTATCTCCATGCCGCCGCGGGGCTGCGGGTTTCAGCCGCGAGCGTGAACGGCGTGCCCGCCGTCATCGTGCGGGGCCGTGCGACGAGCATCGAGGTACCCGAGGAAGCTGCAGTTTACGGCGGCGAGTCGGCAGTCATTGAGGTTCATTTTGCGGGGTTGATCAGCAAGTTGCGGACCGACGGCTTGTACATGATCGAGACCGTGGGCAAGAAGTCGGATGCAGGTGCGGAGAAAGCAGTAGTGGGAAGGCTGCGGGCGGAAGGCAGCCAAGGGACAGAACAAGAGGGGGGGGGAGGGGGAGAGGGAGAAACTAGAGGACAAGGGGGTAGCAAGGCATCTATTGACATTCGCAGGAACGGTGCTGCCGTTCAGGCTGTCGCCAGCGGCGGCAGCAGCAGCGGCTGCAGCAGCACCCCCCCCAGCAGCACCCTGGCTGCCCATTCCCCGGGGATTGTTCTCGGCACGCACCTGGAGCCAACACACGCTCGAGAGCTCCTCCCCTGCGTCGATCTCCCTAGCTCCAAGGCTGTCTTCCACCTCACTCTTCGCGGGGTCCCGCGGCAACTTCAGGCCATCTCGAACACCCCGATACTGCGCACCGAAGACGAGACAGCAGCGGCAGATGATGGAGGCTGCCGCTATGCGGTCAAGACAGTAGTGTTTCAGCCGACCCCCGCAATGCCCACATACGTCTTCGGTTTTTGGGTGGGAGATTTCCATTGCGTTTCCGCGCAAGCCTTGATGACCGCTGCCGTTCGGAGCAACGACGTGTCTCCACCGCCGCCACTGCCGGCTCGTTTGGAGGAGGAGGAGGAGGAGGACGCAGTCCAGATCAACGTGCACGTCGTGCGGGGGGTCGGTTTGAAAGGAGTGGAGTTTGCGTTGGAGTTTGCCACGCGTGCTTTCGAGCTGTTCTCGAAACTGTTCTCGATCCGGTTCCCGATTCCAAAGCTAGACCTGATTGGGCTGCCACAAATGCACGGGCTTGGCATGGAGAATTTCGGGGCGATTACCTGCCTGCAGGTGTTTATGCGTGTGCGTGTTTGTTGCGATCACCTGCCTGCAGGGGTGCGTGTGTGTGTGCGTGGATGCAGCAATATAGTCTACGTTCAGGAACGTTGCTGGTAACTTCATTTTCGGATCCAATCCTTGTAGGGGATCATCCACCAAGGACACTTGCTTTTACTCGTGAAAGTTATCGGTACATAGTGATAGAGAAAGAGTATTTTAATATCACGTCGAACCCCACATGAATAGGTCGCTCTCCGTGTTCACGCTCGGTATCCCCGTTGTTTGCTCTGTCGGGGCCAGGAATTCCTGGTGGTTACACCCGACACGACGTTCGTGCGACGTCGGCGCATCGCCCGACTAATTTGCCACGAGATAAGCCACATGTGGTACGGCGACCTGGTTACACCCCACAGCTTCGATGAACTCTGGCTGAAAGAGGTGCGTTTGCTTCGTCTTGCGCCGTTGTACATGTGCGAAATCGTTTACACCCAATGGCAAGGGTAACGGTGCCGTGACCAACGACACGATCCTCGAGACATGGGGAGAGATAACTTGGAATTTTTGTTTTGTTTTTACTACTCACTGCTATTGATGTCCCTGGCGTGATGGTAGTCGTGCTGCTAAGAAACGCTAGTACATAGAGGCAGCACGGTCTTCACGAGCAGTGCATGTTTCAAGGGGCGTTGCTGGCCTGCCTACAGATATAGAAGCCATGTGATGAGGGTAGATGCGTTTTATTGTTTCAAGGAGTACCCTCATGTAACTGCCAGCAGTAGGGAAGCTGGGCCACGGATTATGAGAGCGTGAGTTATATGATCACCGACATCTGCAGCCGTTTTTGGCAAAGACCAAGCGCCTGTTGCTCCCATCCGTTCATCTTCTTTCGTCCTACCCGCTTCATGCATGACATTGTGCGCCCCCCCCCTTTCCAGAATCTAAGGAAATAATCCAAGGATAAGGAGGGTCTAGAAGTCTACGGCATGTTGAAGGAATAATAGGGTTCAAGGACTACCTACATGGACCAATGGATGCAGGAACAAAGCTTAAGGTCAAATTTAGGACCGGAGACATAGGCCTTCGAGAACGTCGACGAAGCCATAGGACGGTAGACGACGAAGACGACGAGTTCAAATGTGATTGCGTCTTCGAATGCGAAGACCGTGTTCATGTAGTCGCGGAATGTCCGTGGTACAAGGAGAGGGAAGTGTACGTGACTGAGCTGGGAAAAATAGATAGGACGTACAGGGAGATGTTTGAGGCATGGAATAGAGAGGAAAAGACAGTAGCTGTACTTGGGAGTAGGAGGTGGGTTGAAAAGGCGGGAAGGGATATCGTTAGGATAGACAGACTAGGGAAGACATTTTTGAGCCACCTTTGGCAAAGTAGAAAAGAACGATTGGCCATCGGTGATCGGTCCTGTGGGAACAATGCTCCGTCCTCTCGAGGACGCGTGGTCAATGGTCNCTAGCTGTCGACGCTCTGGACCCGTCGTATCACGTGTGGAACAACTTCATGAGCGAGGTGTTCGTCCAGGCAATGCTGGTGAGTCCCGATGCGTTTCTAGCCCCAATCGTTTTGTATGCTTGTTGAACGCCTTTTGGGCTTAAGCCTTCCCGTCCCATGATTGAGGTGGAGAGTAACAGACGACGGCGGTGCCCCTCCTCTTTTTCAGTACCCAAACCAGCGAGGACTCATGAGTACGCCGAGTTGGTGCTAGCCAGCTGTGATTGTGGCCGTTCTTCTAGGTTTGGTTTTCTTGCGGTTGGTGGCCAGTGAACGCGACTCTTCTTCTGAATTTCACCACCTCGTTTCACCCGCTCACTTTTGTCGTCCGCCCCCCCCTTTCCCCTGCCGCACAGGCAGACTTGCAGGAGAACAGCCATCCGGTGGTGCAACGGCACGACGGCAACATCGCGAGCATTCTTGAAAGTTTCGACACGATAACGTACTGCAAAGGCGCGAGCGTCCTCCGGATGCTGTACCGCTGCGTTGGTCCCGATCGATTCCTCAGAGGGATGGCGGACTTCGTAGTTTCGCATCAGTACCGCTGCGCGACTCAGGAGGACCTGTGGAAGGCAGTACAGGTGACGACGGTGGGGGGAGGGGGGGGGGGGGGGG